CCCCAATTAAATAGACGGTCGGTAGTCGCGACATTGCTCATTGGCGCATACGATTGTTGGAGTTTCTTCTCTTACTTTTGCTGCGCAGTGCGTCATCCGGATGTCGATAATCCTTCTCACTATCTTCGTTTTATCTAGAGTAATCACGAAATTCCCTGCATTGTCTTCTTTGGTATATTCCCCATACAATCGTTCCTCCTTTTTTGCTATTTCCGGTGATGATACCGTGATCAGTCGGCACCATTCGTTACTGCCGTTTTCCAACTGTTCTATAGCTTTGTTCAAATATCTCTTATTATAAGTGAGCGTCTGTAACAGTCTTTGGCATTCTCGTCTACCCTCGGGTTTATCCGTCTCTTCATCCGCCGTTTTGAAATAATCTTGTAGACGTTTATTGACACGATTATAGCTTTACGGATTCCAATAGACATGATTGAGAGAGCTTAAGTTGATTAAACAGTTGCCGTTAGGCTGTGATTTTAGAGAAAAACCCACTAGTCTTTAAAGTGAGGCTTTCTCCCGGCTCGTGGCACCAATAAATTGAATTCTGTAGTGGAACTTTTAATCCTTACAGTAACCCAATTTGAGCTAATTTTAGGCTTAACTAGACCTCTCTTGTTACGGTAATTCCTCTTCTGTCGAAAAACCATAATCCCTTCCACTCTAGGGAGCTCTCTTGTTTTAAGCTCCTTATAGCTTAAACTATTATTCTTGACGCTAGGTAACTTCAGTGTATGCATTGACTCTTAATGAAAGACTTTATTCACTTAAACCCGAATTTATAAGATAGTATAAACAGAAATTTTTTTTTTTTTTCGGAGGGGGAGGGGAGTGGTAGGAGATAGATGGAGCAAGACATATCAGAAAGAAAACAATAAAGCTAAGTAGACAACACGATGAAATTATTTGACAAGAAGCTTCATAACCAAATTACTGACCTGTTCGATGGATTCAAAAACTGCACAGATTACAGAAATAAGAATAACGTACAAATCACGAATACTTGGAACCAATTTTATTTCTCCAAAAATTTGAGGATAATTTCAATTATGATAGCAGCGAAGAGATTTGACCAGTCACGACGATTGTTCTGCATCAATAACAAAGTTCAAACTTATAGTTTTTGGAACAATGGATATCTTCCTCCCTTTGAGCAACTGTTTCGTTTGGCCTCCCAAACAAGAAGAAACTCTTTGTTTTCCTACATGGCTAAAACAAAGAGTATGTAGTACTAAATGTTTCCGGGCCTTGAATTTGCTTTGTTGGATTTTTGGTGTTAACAGGACTTTTTTGTAAAATTTTCTTTAAAGCACGTGCCGACAACTTTGGATTGGTGATACGTTTACTGTATGCTGTATTTTAAAATGTTAAGTGTTGATGAAATCGTCGACAACGTTATACAGCACCGGGTGTGTCTAAACCGGGAAAAAGTAAAGTATAAAACTTTGTTTGTGTGAACCAATGTAAACTTACTAACTCCCTCTTCTTTGTTACTGTATAAGCAACAAGAAACCTACGAGCTTCGCTCAGATTCAAAAAGAAAGTAGCGATACCTGCTGCAGCCGTCAACGGTGCATCTGAATCAAGCAAAAGTGATTGGCGACGTGCTGTGAAACCGCTACAATATGCAGGACTTTGAATTAGACTAGTGACGGCCTAGTGTCTGATCCTATTATCGCAACACTAATTTAGCTCTTAAACTCAGGTTATTATGACGATTATACGCCATCCATAATCCTGATAAGTCTTTCCAGTAAAAACCAAAAAACTGTCGACCTTTCCGCAACAAAGGAGCAAAGTGGGTTCTTAAAATCAAGCGGAAACCTAGTAAAGCAAGTACCATCTGATCAGTAGCTGCAGTTTTTCCTTTTTTTGAACTGAGCATAACATAGCAACGACTAAAGAGAAGCACTATGTGTCGCGACAGTGCGCGAAAGCGAACACTAGACCATAGATGATCTCCGTTCGTCCCTAGAGGGAAGCTCTTGGAGGGTAGATAGCAAGTCACTTCGCCCAAAGTGCGCTATATGACCAGTTGACCAGAGTGGCTGGGGACAGTGTTTTTGTCAGTTTACCAGTGTTAACGGTGTATATTGAGTAGTATCAGTCGACTGGATTAATTCAATTCCTATTAAGTACTCGTGCAGTTAGTTCGAGAATAGCAATCGAATCACCGATTCGTTCTTGTCATTCTAATCATCGATCTTCCTTTGGCTTTATTTCATATAATAACCTGCCATTTGGTAGCTTTGCCCTACCGTTTCTTCTATGGTTTTCTTTTACTGCTGTATGTTTATTTGTGAAATTCCTGAGAATCCTGGCAACTGCTCTGAGAACCCTTTCATATTATAAAGTAACTTGTTGATAAACATTATTAGTTAACCGCTGTCGTACATTATAAACCAAAAGCACCACTAAGATCTGTAAAGGTAGTGAGCCGCCCAGGATAGAGGTCGTATAGTCCTCTGGCTAGCACTGCAGGCGTTGACAACTACAATCGCTTGCAGCGAGTAAGTTTGAAGGATACAGAACCAAACAGGAACGCTATAGAGGAGTTTCGTTCCCCAATTAAAAGGGTTGTTGGTAGGTGCGGCAAGATGTTCAGTATCTGAAACGCATCCCAACGACGAAAAAGAATTCTCTTCATATCCAGCCTAATAACTTATACGAGTGTGCCCTTCAAAGAATTGAAAGTTCTTTCACTCAGAGAATTCGTTACTATAGAATAAAAAAGTGCAAGCTTTATAGATGCTCCAGGCTACTGTTTGTCGCAACGGCATGGTCTCAAGGACCGAAGACAGTAACGAACCAAACATGACCCTGAAAGGACGTCCTTGTAAGCATGCTGGGAGATCACTGTCTAATCGAAACGTATAAAAGAAACAGGAGGAAGCGACTTTTGTCGCAACTGACATTCGAAGCAAGTGATTGTTTATCATCTCTGTTTATTGTGCCCATTAAGCAGCTTTGTCAGTTTTACTTCAAATTCGTTCTTGTTTAGTATTATGATTTCAAATAGTTTACTGTTTAGCTTTTCTTAACCTCCTTGGGTTTTCCCTATTTATTCAAAGTTATTTTGCACAGATTCATTGTGATAATTCTTTTTCATCAATTGTTTAGGGAATACTAGTAGTTCGCTTGACCAATGTCCCTTTTCAGTTTCTTAGTGTTTGATATATTGCTAGGGTTTAGGTTGGTGATGAAGTGCAAAGTGAATTTTACTTATTTTCTGTATTGTAAGTTTAAGCGTTCGACAGTGATACCATCTGGCATCCTTCCAAAGCTATCCAGTTGTCGATGTTTCCAATCGAAATAAATGATGTCAAAGGTGCAGCACAGTAAAATTTAATAACAATCAAAATTCCAGTATAACTTTGGATAAAGAAACAAAAGCAATCTTGTTCATAAAATCAGGGAACGAAGCATTTCCGATGCTCAAAATTCATTGTAATTGTGTACTCTTTATCCATTTTTGGTGAAACAAAAATTTGGCTCTTTTCTGGAAAGCCAAAGGGCCAAAAATTTGACTTGAAAGAGAACTTTGTTAATATTTCTAAAGATTAGATTTGTCTTATTGTCATTTTCATTAATTACATTATCTTGATTGGTAAAATCTTGCTCACTCTTTGTGAACTCTATTCGAATTTAATTCCTGAACTCTGACATAACTGGAGTCATTGAAGGTCAGTGAATTTCAAAATTGTATTTTAATTCCTTGTCGAGAATTAAATATTTTAATTGCTTCCTTTCTGAATTTTTTTGTGTATCTATCTCCTTTACTCTTTTGTGATTCTGATGTTTCTCAATAGGCTTGAGATTTTGAAAATACTGGCAGTAGTCACATGAAACTGATACTTTTATAAGTGAAAATTATTTTCCTTTCTAAATTCTAATAGTCTCGTTCCATCTCTGTCTATTCTTCTGCATCTCACTCCATTCGCCTATCACTCCACGTCAAATTTGGAAAGATTATAAGTTATCGCCAACCTGGACCATATAGAGCTCGATATAAGGGAGCCCTTTAGAATAGTGAATAAATTAAGGTATTTCTCCAAAGGGGAAATTAGTCGTAGTAAAAGACGTTTAGCTGAGCGTTAATTCGACCCAAACTGAGTTACTGTAGGGATTATAAGCTCCGCCACAAAAATCCGTAACATAGCGTTGACAACTACAACTGCTTGCAATGTGTAGGCGTAGAAACAAGGATCCTCGTAGCGACGCTGTAGAGAAGATCAGCTCCCCAATTAAAGAGTATGTCGGTAGTTGCGATAGAATTAACAGAGCACTAAGGCTTCCTAAAACTTTTGAGGGTAACTTACTTTCAACAAAAACCTTAACTCACATCCCCGCCAGATATACGATTGCCTAGTGAAAAAAAAAGTGCAGAACAGCTCATACTAATATAAGACAGGCGAAAGATTTGATTTCAATCATCAACCGCGGAAAGTATAGAAGAATTCATTTCCGCTTGATCTTTAAAATTATGCACTGATCTTTTGCAATGGTAACGGCTTTTTGGAATCCTGCCAGTAGCATAGTTTTATTTCGTGTCAGGAGAAGCGTAACGAAGAGATCGAGGAAATTATGCGGCCGCAGTCGTCTCAACTTTTGAAGGAAACCTGTTTTATATTTATTTTATCGTTTCCTGGAAATCCAGGACCGTGGTGACGGTGCAGAGCTGCTTCTATGTCGTTACAGGATTTATGGTTTATTCTAGTTTTTAGGCAGCTGTCCTGAAATAGTCTAGCCGAGAAGTAGTTAATTCGGCACTTCATAAAAGGATGGGCAAGAAGGATAAGAGCTTGACCGGAAAAAAGCTTGCGAATTCCGCAGATACAAGGTTTTTTACTTTCTTGTTTACATTTCAGCTACTGGTGCTAAGACTGAGCTTCTTCTTCTTTGAACGATTATTTTTTGATGCTTAGCTTTGTTAGTGCCATTCAAATTGCTAAAACTGCTTTGAAGATATCGTTTACAAAAAGAGTGGCTTGATTTGTCCAATGGCTCTTATTATAACTTTTTCATCACGTCGTATCTTTCTGTGTGCTATTGACACAGTTTCTAGAGTATTTGAAGAGGGAGACGCTTATGTCGAAGAAGCGACGACGTCCGATACGCAAAGGAAGGAGCGTTTTGAAAGTGACCATCACGATTCTTCCTCAGAGGATGGAGATGGTGAATACAACCAGGAAAATTTCAATAAGTTAGAGCGCTTGTTATCTTCTCGGATTTCACTCCTTGATAGAAGTGTAACAGAGTATCGTTCTTTAAAAATTCAGCTATTTGGCACTAACTTTAAATATTTTCATAAAGCACTGCATGACCTGTAAGAGTTTCTCCTTTTTATTCCTCTTAGTACAAACCACAGTAGTATTTCATTTAGTTTAATAAAATAAACTTCAGTTTGGTAGTGAATACTACAACGTTTGCATTGTATGTTTATCATAAGTTTCAAGGCGCGATCTTTCTCTGGCGCTCAACTCTTCAGAGGGACTTTCAGGCAGTGACGAGGGTTCTATGGAAGGAGAAACCACATTCCGCGAAGGTTATTTTTTTAATTCGGTTTTTGTTTACTTTCAAGCTACATTTTTTTTTTCTGAAGTGGTTTTAACTTTGTTTTTTAGCGATAGCAGATATGCCACTGGGTAAAGCCATAAAGCTAAAAGAAAAGCTTGGAGTACGTCTTTTTAATAAAGCCTTCTTTGGCTCTTCCTCTACAGATAAAACGCAACCCTATAAGCCGGTAAATTTTATGGACATTTCCTTCTAAAAGTGCAATTTTTTAGCGTACTGTTGTGTTGCCTCGTTTTTTACTATTCTTAATTTTGTTTTTGATTTTCAGCGTACATTCAAACGGGATAACCCAAAACGTCCTCGGGAAATATCCTCAAAAAAGCGTGTTCCAAAGTTCCGCAATATATTGGGAAACGAAAAGATAAATAAGAATATTAAGTTGGGGTTTCAGTTGCCGGAATTTGCTTTTTGTTTTAGTTGAACCTGCACAGTCATCTTGCAGGTACGACCCACGATTTGATGAACGTTGTGGTGCTTTTGATGAATTTCTATACAGAGCTAATTACAGTTTCTTAGATGATATAAGACGGGAAGAGAAAAAGGTATGGTTTTTATGTTATAATTTGTTTTAAGAACATAAGATGGATTGTAAGTGTTCAATAAAATAGATCTCTACAGATTTTGAAAGCTGAAGCTGTCGAATTGGAGCGTGAAGATCCTGAAAAGGCTAAAAAAGTAAAAGAAGTTTTAAAGAAAATTGCTGATCGGGAAAGGTTCCTTTTTTTCTGATTTTAAACGTGCTTTAGAGATATTCATTTTTGTCTCGTCTGCATACTTTTAAATTTTGACTATTTTTAAATAATTTTCTGCGGGTTTTTGCTTGGAGTTTTCATTTGTTTTGAATCTGCAAATCAGCTTTTTTCAAACTTTGTTTATCTCATCTCAGATTGATCACGTTTGGAAAGTAGCGCTTTAGACTTTTAAAAGCATTGCTGAAACAGTAACCTCCGGTTTCATTAGTTCAGATTTAGGAAATTATATCTATATTTTTATCCGAAAAAATCTTGAGCATTTTGAAAAAACTTAACTTTTTCTAATTTTACATCCATCCTAACTTCGATAAGAGAGTTGTAATTTTGTTGTTTCAAAGGAGGATCAAAGGTGAAGTGATTCGTTATTTTTTTAACAGTTTTTTGGATTTCAGTCTGGTAATTCTGAAGAAAGTTATGTTTCAGTCTAGTAATTGTATGCCTCCTAAAAGATGGCAAATTGAGTCGTTTGTTAATTTCCAATTTGCTTCTGAAAATTTAAGAAATAGATTTGTTCGAATTTGTTAAAACTAAGCGTGACTTATGCTGTTATATTTGATTTCATACAAACTGAACTATTCTGCAGAAGATATTGCGTAGGTTTTGCTTATTTAAAGGATACGTTATATTTGTCGACAACATAGTTTGGCAACACAAATTTTGTTTTGAACAGTGAATTTCTCATATCGTTTGGGTGTTTTAGATCGCCGATGAGATGTTTTTTGTTTTATTCTGAGAACTATTCCTGATTGCCTTCATGAATTATAATAACTTCTTTTACAAGACTGCTAGTGCTAGAAACCACAACATTTTTGGAGACATTTTCTATGGTTTTTTTATTTGTAAAGCTAGATTTCCGAGGTGTCTTGCAGCTAACTTATTTTATTTTTTGAAATATTTACTGTTATCTTTTTTAGAAGCTAGTAGAAGGGCATATCTTTACTTCATTGTAGTATACGTTTTGTGTGAAATGGTCTCTTAGTATTCTTACTATTAGAAGTACTTAAATTAATGTATCTTTAAGTCCAAATTCTCTTTCATCTTTTAAAGGCGCCTGTGATTTTCGCTATCAGGTCGTAAAAGAGGAGAACGATGAGAATAGAAAAAATATTCCAGGCAAATAATAATGACAGATTTGTATAATTTTTGAATTATTTATTAACCTCTATGCAGTTTTGGACAATCTTTAATTTTTCAGAAAAACCCATTTTTTGTTGACTGATAACTACATGTTCAATGTTAAGTTGCATCGGTATCACGTTGGTTGAGAGGTGATAAACTCTACCAATTGGTACGATTGTGCAGGTCTTTTAGTCGCCTGTTGTTGGTTTAACAAACCACTAATGGTTAAATTGTTATTTTTAAATGAAGTAAGGTGCCTGAACAATGATATTTGTTTGCCTGCCGTTTGATCTTTTTTCATTCATTTTTAGTTTCTTAAATATTATTTTTAAACTTTTTTTTTCGTGGTTGAAGTTAAAAAGAAACCAGTTATTTCCAAGACTTTTAGTAACAAAGAATAACATGCTTTTAAGAATCACCTCATCGTTTCTCTCTTTGCATCCCTTCTTCTCATATCTTTTTGGAGTGCATCATCGCTAGTTAGGAACTGGTTGTAATGCATTTGAGTTATTAGCTTTTTATTACGCTTGTTTGTTTTTTACTTTTCTTCAAGTTAATTTTCTTCCAGTGAGAGTACTAAGTGGATAAATGGATAAGTGTTCTTCGAAGATTTCAGGACGCTAGCAGAGTCTGATCGGCGCAAAGAAGTTATTCGTGAGTTACGTCGGGAAAATAATGAAAGGCTACGACAAGGACTGAAGCCAGTATTTAAGACGAGAGGTATGTTTATCAAATTGCACCATTAACATACTGTATGGAACTATATTAGAGTTTTCAAGCTTTTGGTGGATTTAGCATTCTGCTGCCATTCTTTTTTCTTACACCTTTACCTCGCGAATATTGTGATTTTCAGCTCAAATCAGAAGAAGAGTTCTTGAGAAGAAGTTTGGAGAATTAAAGAAAAGTAATAAATTAAACAGGTATATGCAACGGCGGGCGGAGCGTCAGGCAAAGAAATCTAAAGACCTTTAAGCATGCATTTCTTGTTCGCTGTTATTTTTTCATTACAGGTTATGTCGTCATTTATGAGTTCTGCCATCTTTTCTTGTGTCTAATGCCTTGTTTTGAATCAGAGTTTTACAGTATGCATCAATTTTTGAAATATTTTTAATAAATTAACGATTTGTACAATATTTGAAAACGTTTATTTGCTTTTTTTTCCGAAAGTATAGCAGAAGTTTTTACAACTTTGTATGTATGGTTGAAGTGATAGAGATTCTACGAAGGAGTTAGCTCGACTGCATAATGCAGTTTGAGTGACATCCAGGAATGGTTAGGGTTCGTGAATCTTGCCAGATAGTCCCCTTTCTTGCATTCGATGGATCCTTGTTCTGGCGTTTTCACGGTAGTGAGAGTTATTTTAGGCCAAACTGTTATTTCCTCACCATTTTCAATTCTGATTATGTCAAACTCAATATCTCCAGTGACCGTAAAATGCCATATAAGTGTTTGTCCATCCTTTTCGCACTTCCTAAAATTGACAGCAGTAGAATATTATATCAACTTGTGAGACGTTTCAGTTTGATTTTTTATTGCTCTCATTTCCTGAAACACTATTAGCAGTACTGTTTTACCAGTTCCTGCTTTTGTAGGTTTTTTTGCGTTGGCAACGACGAATTACTTGTAGCTGCATTTCATAATTTGGGGTTTAACGCTTGTTTACAAGAAAATTATAGGTTGAAATTAATTATAAAATCAAGAAAAAAAGTTTGTTTTGAGAGATTGTATCATATTATGCTTAGTTTACGGGTTTGTGGAGTTTTAAACAGCTTCATTAATTCACTGATTACCGCTCTGTTGAACATATTTAGAACTGCATGTTGCGTTTAAAGACACCTGTTGTTTTATTTGGAGTGTTTTATTTTAGATTCAACGTATGTTAAAGGGGAGTTGGAATGAGTTTGAAGTTTGCTCTTTTTGGCTGCTAAGTTAAAGAAATCCTTTTTATATGAATGACTTTATTCTTTCTTCTGTAATCAGGCAAAATTTTTTTAGAAATTAATCAGAAAATGGGCTTCCTTGGTTCTCTGAAGGCTCTGTTTTGAAGTACGAGGAATTTGAATGGGGAAATATTAAAACAGTTTCTTAGTAAAAGTAGTAGATGTTTATTCAAATGTAGAGTTGAGGCAGTAAGGTTTTCGAGTTGCTTTGTGTATCTTGCT